TCTACGCAACCAACATCCAATAATGTCCGAGTGTGCGCTCTACAATATGAAAGCAATGTGCCAGAAGTAAGCGCAGAATCTAAGCTTTTTGATTTTAAACCATCATCTTTATATGAAGTATTTTTAGCAACTAATTGTTGACATGCTCGAGCACAATATTCGTTTATCGCGAGCTATTCGTCGTAATGCATCAACTAGTGCCCGGATTCGACACGGTGAAATTGAGGGTCAAGCAACTGCACCACGTGTGAAGCCCACTGAGGATACTGCAGCACAACTGTTGGATTCGTATCTGGCGACTGCTACGCAAAGTAACTTATTAAGAGTATTTCCCAGTCATTTTTGTAAAATCATTTCGCTTGGTACGTATATTACAAATTTGAATCTTTTCCTTTTTTTCTTGTATGTTCGCCATTTTTTGCTTATGCGTTGAGGCAGGTAGTCTTCGATAAACACATCTGTTCAGGTAAATGTACTGTACAAGAGAAGGTGTGGAAACTTTGTCAAGCGCTCTTCCCTCCTGAAAAGACAGGTACCCATTAATGAATTTAGCCAAAATGTAGATATTGCATGGTAACTTGACACTTCCTTTGCGCCGTTTGGTACTTCTTTTAGCTGATTATCATTGGTAGATTTTTCTTCAACGTTTAAAAATATTTTTAGCTATTAAAAAGCCTTTATTGAGAAGTTGGCTTCAAGGGTAATGTTATCCGATGCTAAGCCAATTGAATTATAGCGCTCTAGTCATCATTTATGCGGCTCACACTGATGCTTTGCTAGTGCAAAAGCGAACGTGCCTGTCTCCAAATTCATTTTCATTTATCTAGCAGTTTTCGGAAAGAACAATGATTACGAGCTACATATTTCAGAAAACTTGTTGTAAAAAAGTGCAATTGTGTTGAAACTTGCTGTTGTTTTTTTTTTTTTATCATCGATACACAGGAGTTTGGCAATGGCAGAGAACACAAGATATGGGAGACTGGCTACGAGAAGAAGTTTCTAATCTGTCGAAAGGAAAAGTTGGACGTGGAGGTATTGTAAAGGGTTATGCAAGCTTTTTCTACCGGACCGGCTAATTTTTCCATTACCTTAGCATCTCAAGTTTGGTCATTGCTGTGTGTGGGTAACGTTGAGGAAGCAATTCGTGTTGCCAATGAAGAGGGGATGACGATGCTTTCTCTGATGATAGCAGCAGCGCTATCATCTGAGCAGATGGGACGGGAAGACTGCGCGAAGATGGTAAGCCTGCTTCGGTTGTTTCGGATTCTGCACATGGACAGATATATGGTCTTGGAGGTGGAGCTGTGGGAGATGAATGGAGAACTTGGAATGATGGAAGATGACCTGATCAAAATCTATCTCGTATTAGCAGGAAGATCACATGCAGAGTTTCTTCGAAAGGGGAAGATGGTGAAATTAAACTGCTTAGAAGGGCTAGATTGGCTTCAGGTGAGTGCTGCTGTTTCAAAAGAAAAAGCGGTTTCAAAAACACTGCTTATGTTCTGTACTGTAAAGGCGTTTGGTATTCACCTGTGGTACATCAATTGGGGAGGCTTTTTGGAGGATGCTGTTGATTCATTCACTGATGATATTGCTGCTGGAAGAGCGAAATCGCCGGAATCGCATGTGTTTGAGCAGGTATCTCTTTTCCATATCTGGTGAAGAATTTTCGGAAAAATGGTTTGCCTCAGCTTATTCGATTGGCTTGCTCACCAAGTCATCAAGTAGAAGCTGTTCTCGATGCTGCAGCATTGCTCAGCCCGAATCCTCTAGATGCGCAACTTAGGTTTGCTCAATGTACCTTTCATGTCTATATCATTTATCACAGCTTCTGTTTAGTTGGCATCTGTGGTCAGTTCTCAGAGCACTTGGATACAATACTATGACCCCAGCTGCTGAACAGCGATTACATATGTCGTATGCCAATCAGCTGTCATCATCGGAACTTTGGCATCTAGCCATATTTGTACTCAGTCATATCAGTCATGATCAATGGTGAGCTTGAGGGGATTTGCCCTATATTTTTGACGAAATCTTATTGCTTTCAGTCGCTCCGTAGCGATACGAGAAGTGTTAGATCGCATGTCGTTAACAGCCCGGTCACAGCAGTACGAGAAAATTCTGACCATTTGCGATGTCCCGAAAGAGTGGATTTCAGCGGCCAAATTTATCAGATCAAAGGTAGAATTATCGAGTTCTCCGCTTAAACTTTTTCTTTGAGAATAATTTTTCTCT